ATATATAGAGAGTCACGACTCTCTGATAGCTCATGTGGCCACACAGGAATACCCAGGTGTAGCTGCACACTCTAGATTACATACAATTATGAGTAGCAGTTAACTCTTGTAGGCCACAATGAACTGTGGTGTGCTGATAGATATTCATTATACCTGTTTGCAGAGCACACAGGTTGCCTTGGAGCTAGCCTGCTGGTCAGTGAAACTCTCGTACAATGATCACCTGTCTTGGGAGCAGGAGCAACATGTTTACTGCTATAAGGGTAGCTAACTTTCTACACTAATTACAGGGTTTGCTCTCGTCAGCATATCCAGCTGTGTCAGCAGTTCATCCGCTTCAGAGCTGCTTTCAAGGGTTATCCAACTAGGACTCGTCCTTTCTCCCTCGTTGACTGTTTCGTCACGCGTGCGAAGCCATGCTTCAGATGCGTGGCAGCGAGTATACTCGCAGTGAGCTGTTCTCCTGTGTTGGTTGGTTACAGTGGCATAAGAGGTGCCAGGAGTGTCACAGGATTTCCACATCGCGCTCTATCCGGAGGTGTTAGGGAGGATAGCGTGCACCTGATTCTATAACATCAATGCCATAAAGGGCCGGGGCGACACAACGGAAAAGTAGTGGAGAAAATGCCCTAAAAAACTCACACAAACGTTCCCCCATGGTCCATGGACACTTGCTGTGCGTCACGGCAATCTGTGAGACGGTGAGTATGAACACTTAGCTACTGCTGGGGGTTGTGCACAATAAGCCTAAACAGCTATGTAGCGGTAGTACTATAGGCCAACGCACACAGATGCACACCAAGCACTAATCTCGCTATCCACACTCTTGGAGGTGGCTAACACGGCATCGTCCCCAGTAGCTCGAGCTATAGAGCGCACTTTACCGGCCAGCGACCTAGCGGACTCAATCAGCTTATCATCTGCGACACCCTGCGATTTGTTTCATATAATAATTATTATTATACACACCTCACTCCAGGACTCCGTCAACGCCCTGATCGCAAGTGGTGGCGGATCTAGACAGAACTCCAGAAAGTGTACATCGGCGCGCTTTGCGCCCGAAAATGTTTAGCGGCAACGCCCAATTTTTGGTGTGGTGGTGGTGGATTATCATATCACACAATGATTATACACGCAGCACGCATGCGTATAAATTATGAGATTACGCGTGTGACATTTTGAAGTGCATGGTTACACACAAATAGAGTCAAGATGAAAGTCACTAAAGTGCAAACCCTCGGCGAAGTAGCTCGCAGAGAGTCTGACACGGGCTAGCTACAGTAGTAGATAGTCGATACACGCCATTCGTAGTGACTTCTTGTGCCTTCAAGATAGACAGAGCAAGCGGACCCGGTAGAGTAGTAGCCTGTGCTAATATAAGCGCATGCGCATTATTCCGCCCGCAATAAAATGGCGACTATCCGGCATTAGCCATACAATGCTGTGAAGCGCTCTAGCTTTGCAACGGAGCATTTTCAGAGAAAACCCCACAAATTTTCTGACCTTCATCGCCCGTTGGGTAGATGGTATCGTTTCTGGGACGAACAGACATTCGAGAGGTGAGATGTAGAGTAACAGACACACACACACCCAACTACAGTACCCTCGCAGCGCATGCGCGCCGAGGGTAGTTTCTTGAGAGAGGAGATGTAGCGGTGTATCCTGAGAGCAGGTCCAGTCTTGAGTACTGAGGGTGAGGTCACTCCTACAGTCAGGTCCATTACTCTCATTCCTAAAATTTGAGTAGTTTTAAGGCTGGCCACCCAAAAGTAACTTGAGACACCCATTGTGAATTCTGCAGAGACAATGGTGCAACTCTGGGCACACTACAAGTAAACCTGAAAATAAACATTGGCTTATGCTCATTTCATGCTTTTTTAGTGCAGCATAAGTGTATAACCAGTGTGATGATAAATTATACACACAAACAGAGTCAAGATAAGGAGAAGTGTTTCTTGAGAGAGGAGATGTAGCGGTGTATCCTGAGAGCAGGTCCTGTCTTGAGGTCCATCAACTTCACCATCATCTGAGGATCCAGAGACAGCAGAGTCTCTCCATCCACCAACTGATGAGAGGGAGGGAGAGGGAGAGGGAGAAAGAAGATGAAGAATGAGGATATTACAATAACAAACACTGCACACATATTCAAGGGTATATACATTTGGGATCCACCCATAAAAGGCTGTACTATGAATTTCTGCGTGGGACAGTTTTATAGTTTTTGTGTATTACACAGCAGAACAAAGCTTCCTGATGTATATTAAGATGTTGGCTCACATGTTCCACAAAGACGTCCTTGAACCCAGAGCAGTGGGGAATCCCTGCAATAAACTGCCCCACCTCTGCCACGCCCCACTCTGTTGGGTGACCCCACCCACTCTCGCAAACCACACACCCTTCGTCACCCTCTCCAACAACTGGCATTTCGGTCGTCCTACCCACAACCTTGCTTCGAGTCCTCTTAGCTGGTGGAAGAGACAGACCACCATCCTCAGGTACAGACCATACATCACCAACACCCACTCTACAATCAGCGAGGACTTCTCTCCTTTTAGCCGAGGGTCTTGCGTTAGTGTCTGAAACTCCATCATTGTCAGGAGAAAAATATTCTTCGCTCACTAGTCTCCTCACTCGAGTTATTTTCCGTCTACTCCTCCGCAGAGACTCGGGGGTTGATTTACGAGCGGTGTGGGGCGTGTGCACAATGCTAGCAAGTCCTGCTGTGTCGTGGGTAGTCGGTCGAGGTTCTGTCTGCGTACCTACGCCCACTATCGAAACTTCGGCGACATTCGAAGACGGCAGTACACCAGTAGTCAGGCTATTGCCTGATTCGTGCACCGAAGACATTGCCACGGCCACTATCTCAGAAGACACTTTTTGTTCAGCAGATGGTGACGAAGGACCGGTAGCAACTGTTGATGAAGACTGTCCCCAAGACGCTAGCGATGAAGAAGCAGGAACCGAATTGACAAGTGAGACTGTCACTTCCCACGCAGCGGGAGGACCGTCTGTCATATTGTCATGATGATGATGATGTGAAATATCGGGAAGTGAAGAGCAGGTAGCTACTGATTGTGAAGCAAGCAGTGCAAGGTTCTGGGCAGCCTCGCTGGCCTCGACCTGGTCCGAATCCATTCCAAAGTACCCGGAATGAGACACGATGACCTCTGAACCCGGATGTTCCTCGATTAGCGGAGGAATTTCAAATTCCCCGTCGCTCACCACGCTTTGTTCTTCGTACACCGAGTAAGGCGACTGTGGCTGTTTTTCGCTCTGTTTCGACGACTTTCGCCCCTTACCCCTCCCCCGCGGTCGCTGCTGGAGTGGTGCCTCAGACGTCAGACCAGACGTTCCGGACTCCAAGACTTGAACTTCGACCTCTTGCGATTCGTGGAGGTGGAGGTCGGAGGTCAAATGAGCGTCGCTGGAGTGAGAGAGAGGGAGGGGAGACAGAAGAACTTCTTCTTCCTCCTCCTCCTCAGGTTCCAGTATCTCGAGACTCTGTGCAAATCTCTCTGAAAATACACAAACAAGTATTTTGTTCAGGAGCGCAAGTCTTCGTTCAGGAAGTGCAACTACAGTACAACTATAAGCATGCATTATGATGGTACGTATTTCAATGACAGAGTCCACTAGGGTTTTAGTTGAATCAGGGAAGCAAGGGGATTAAACTACTTTTTAACCAACCCCCTCCCATCCTTTGAAAAAAAAAAGAGCTGTCCTGGGTGTAGTTGACTTGTTTGTTGTGCCTTTGCCTTTCTACCTCGTACCTGACACAGCGCATTTAGCACGTCGCACGTGTTACACATGGGACTGAATACGTGATAAGACGACAATCAATTCCCTCTCCCTCCCTCATTCCCTCCTCCTTTCCTCTCTCTGCGAGACGACAGACACGGGACCCCCAGCTAGTCTCCTCCAACACGCTTCCTGGCTAGAATTCTTGTGACTCACCAAACGGATGACAGAGGAGACAGGGGGCAGAGGGAGGGTGGGCTGAGACAAAGTTCTCGCAGCACTGGAGGAGGGAGATGTGATTGTAGAGCTGGATCCAGAACTCTGACAGCTTCCCCGGGGCAGGGATGGAGTGGGAGGACACGATCACGTCTCCTCTCTTTGCCACTATCAGAGGACCTGAGGGAACGGGGAGAGAGAGGAGAGGGCATGGAAAAGTGAGAGGGGCGTAAAATTATTGCTGTAAAATCCTTTTTCTCGCAGCACCCAGTTATAGTGGTTCTGCAAAAAAAAAATCACGAAATGTTCTTGCTGCAAAACTTTCACCCCTGTGGTAGGCCAGCTAGTTTGCAACACACACATGCAGACTGTTGACTGTTCCTGCCTACACGACAACACAGGTTTACAGCTCAGATGCTCAAAAGGCAACCATAGCGAGAACGACGAATCCTGCCAGTTGGGCATCGTACCATACACACCAGAAATCGTAGAAAAGCAAAGCAAACGATCCTATTCTTCCTCTAAGAAAACATAGTTTCATCGTGTGTCATTGCCTTAGAGATGTATGGTCAAAGTACCCTACACCAACTACAATAATTACACACCTGCGGCAGTCGGTAGTTTGTTCAGAGCCTCTTCGGGGTTAACGCAGAAATCCACGAGCAGCTGGATGATGTTTCTCATGGCGTCGGCGAGGTGGGAGGGGCCGAGTGAGATGGGGAGGGAGGAGAGGAGAAGGGTCTCGTCAAAGAGAGGACTCGGCCTGCAACAAGCGTTGAAGTAGACCTTCGTACTATAGCCAAGAGCTGTGTCAAGAGAAAGAGGGGATTCCTTTACTGGTACGAACTCACAAAAATTTAGCCATTTGCAAAACCTTTTCACGTTTGTAATTGAGTGTGACCCAGCACAATCATGTCTTTCAAATTCAGAGGGGATTATATATATAGTACAAAAACCATTCAACACAAGCAACCAAGATAAAGAATTCCTGCAATATTTGTTTACAGATGCACATAATAAAAAACAACACTGCAAACAACTGTGGTATATTGTCCTACTGCTCCCTAATGACTGACTATAAAAGAAGAAGAAAGCAGCGGAGGGGAGGAAAGGGGCTCACCGGCTAGCAGTGTCTTCCCCACAGGGTTCGCAGGGTCGGTGAGAATGACCTCAGCCTCGGTCGGAGTGCACCCGTCAAACGCTCTCGACGGAGGCACCTTCCCAAACGGATGACCCAACACATCTGTAGAGAGAGAGGGAGGGGGAGGAGAAATAGAATTGGGGAGGTACAATAGAAACCACAAGTTGTTATAATTATACTTGCAAGGAAAGTGAGCATACTAAGTCATCTGAATACCTCATTTTCCAATCTACCACAAATCTATACTAACATTTCACTTTTAGTTGTATGGGCATAATGCAGGATAACCTGCGTCATCTCTTAAGTACTACTATACTTAGTGATACATAGATGCATATGTATGTAGTACATACGTACATTCCAAGTAGAGAGGTCTGGTAACTGACACCATTAGATTCTGTACGTGAGGATTGGTCACTCCGTCTGGTCTATCCCTCAGTGTGGCTAGCGGACACTCTTCTACCAGTCTGTATGAGAAACAAAAAAAATTTCTTGAAGTTTGAACATAGAAGTGGCTGGCCCCGATAAACGCAAAGACACACGACTGGAGGAAATGAGACAAGTTGTAGGTTTGTTTGCGTGTCTCTCAGTCCTGGCAGGGTAGCCAGGTCCCTAAAATGTCTGCACACTCCCTATTCCTCCCTCTCTACGCCTCACGGAGAGAGAAACAGAGAGAGAGAGAGGGGATAGGGAGTACTCTGAGCGCAAGGATGGAGTCATCATTGAGACACACAGACAACTACACACCAGCGAAACAGTTTACTGGCTGCACTTGATGACTGCCACAATTCCGTATTAGTTCCCGCTCACTATCATATAAACAGACTACTATTCCTAAGTGTGTCGTGTGTGAAAATCCGCAAGACAAAATTTTGAAGTGCAAAAGTTACGAAGAGGGAAAACCCCCCAAAATTTACTTGAAAACATACATACTTGTGAAGAAGTTTGCCTCTGTAAGCGGGTGCCCCCTTTTTCTTGGGGGATTTTGGTGGGGGAACCGAGAGGGGGGTCGTCTCGACGATTTCCACTGTGGCCCCCTCGGTGAACACCTCGCTCTCGTCTGTAATGATGACGTCACTGTTTGGGGGAATCCCACTAGTGGTGGGCGTGGCAGATGTGGGTGTGGCCACATATTCTATATGGGAAGCTGCAGAGAAATAAACATCTTGCTAATATGAAGCTGCATGGGAGCGAAAAATAGGCAATAATAAAATGTTTGGAAACTGCAGAAAAATTCGCTTCAGAAGAGACAGAAGCAGAGCAACAAATATAGCGGTTTCAGAAGAGGCAAAGAAAAATTTTAGAGCCTGAAGGAAGATACTTACCTGAGAAGACATCATCCAATGGTTGCAAATCAAATCCGGGTGAGTAAACTTCCTGCAAAAAAAATCAACGAAAAACTGTTTCAACACACCCACTCACATTGCAAGAAGCAATAACACAAACAACAAACAGCAAATGTAAAGAGGAAGAAGGAAGAGATTGGGTTTGGGCGTACTTGTGAATAGGTGCTCTTTCGAGGTCGACCGGCGTACGAACTCGGCTTGCGATCGTGCGCCATCCCCGTGGCCAGGAATCTCTCCCAGACCTTCTGCACTCCACTGACAGATACTTTCAGCTCCTTGGCAATGTCCTTGCTCAATCTTCCACTCTTGCGCATGGAGATTATCCGCTTGCGTAGCTCGATCGGGAATTTCACGCAGAGGGGACGCGGTTTAGTTCCGTTTGCGGGGACTTCTACGGTCGAAACGACGTCTGCGTCCGTGATTGCCAACGTCGACGCTTGCGGAACGGATTCGTAAGCCTCGCGCAGGTCGAAAACGGCTGCGTCACCGCTCGCGGTCGAAACGGCACTCTCAGGGTTAACCGGTAAATTTTCGCTGGACGAGCTCGAAGTTTGGTTGAGAGCCGCGGTTTCTCCTGCAGCAACCCCGCCCTCTGGACCACCAACGCCCCTTGCGGACTGCCCCGATCCAGCCAGAATGCTCTGCCCGACCTGAGCTATAGCGGCGGCTAGCAGCTGTGCGACATTTTCCGAGTTTACCCCTCCGCTCCCGCCTGTCAGCTGCGCGTTCTCCTCGCCCGCCAGTTCCAGCAGGCTCCGCAGGATTGCGTTGTTGCTGGCGTCACTTTCCGCCGACATTTCCTCGCTGCGGCCACCGTCTGTTCGACTTAGAACGAGTTCCGGCCTGGAAAAGAGGCGACGGGTTGGAAAAGGCGCGCGAAGAGGTCTTCGCAGAAATCCAGCGACAAACAGGTAAAACTCCGTCTCTTTGGTCGACAAAGGTTAAAAATGGCGGATCGTGAGTGATCACGTGGGCGCACGCGATAAAAAGGCCGCACATCAGCGCGCGCCGCTCTCAATTCTGAAGCGGTAAAAATCCGAGGCAGTATTTCGAGCCACAAAGGCACTGTTTTTTGCCCAAAACGACAGCCTTCTTGTCCACCAGATCCACACTGCTGCACCCGAAATAACTGAAGCACAGCTCCGTACCGCTCTCAATGTCCTTGCGTGCAAACAGGCACAGCCTCGGCACAATCGAGTCAATCCTGACGGGAATCATTGTTAGGTTGGGACTACAAGAGTGGTTAATGAAAACGGGTAACGTTCCCCGCATACGTGGCATCGATGGTTTGTAGTTAGCACTGGACCTTTACTCAAGTGCTCCTTGTACGTGACGATATAGCAGGGGTCACGTGGTGACAACTTTTCCAGCCTTCGTCTTTGCGTCGGATCTGGATATTATCTGGCCCACGTACTCACCCACGAACGTACCTCGTGCTATGAAATGAGTGCACCCCACTCCGTAGCCCTTGGACTTTGAATCCGTCTCGAACACCCTCAGTGTTGTGAGCCGTTGGTTTTGAGTCACGCGGTTCGGACATGTGGTGGCACAGCGGCACTTCGAGTTGCACTCGAACACCGGTTTAGACGCCGAGGCGAAGTATTCCACCTTTAGACGGCCGTCCGAGTCGTATGCCCACGAGCACATGCAGCTACACTCGAGGCTGGAGCAGTTTACCTCGTCGCGACAGATGCAGCCCTCGTAGATGCCGACCGTCGTCCCGGTGTCCAGCCGAACTCCGCGACCCGGTATGCACCGCTCGATGTGCTGGTAGCCTCTTCCCTCGGGATTTGCAGCAGCCATGACTCTGTTGTTCACTGAATCGAGTCTTTTTTGGCGTGTTCGGTCAAGTGTGAGTTTCGGGCAGAGCTCCTGCGCGTGCGTGCGCAAACGTAGCGCGCGAAATTGGCGGGAAAGCGCGGGGCCGGCCGAGGGAGAGTGAACACAGTCATGAAGCTTACGACTCCCCAGATCGTGTGGCACAGCAAGGAGCCAGTTTTCAGCGCGGATTTCCACCACTCCGGGGAGCTGTGGCGGCTGGCCACGGGTGGAGCCGACAAAGACATAAAGGTAGATTACCCAGTAACCCCTCCCACAGGGGTTAAATTTTGGCCCCCTCCCCGGGGTCTCTATTGTGTAGATATGGAAAGTGGTGAGGGAGGAGGGAGGGAAGGTGAAGATAGTGTTCATGTCCAGTCTGTCCAGACACTCGGGATCTGTCAACGTCGTCAGATTCTCACCCAATGGTATCACTCTTTATTGTCACGTGACAGTCACATGACATTTACTTTTGTTAGGTGAGCTTCTTGCGTCAGCTGGAGATGGTAAGTCACCCGTACATACAATCGCCCAAAACCTGTATTTCAAACCGGTTTCCCTTGTCAGACAATGTCGTGTGTCTGTGGAGATTGGGAGAGGGGGGCGGGGCCAGCAGCAACATTGCCACGGATACGACACTCGTAAACAAGGAAACGTGGAACGTCACGAAAATGTTGAGGTAAAAACAGAAAAATCCAATTGTATTCCCCAACTTTGTTGAAGTGCAGTAGAGAAAAGTTTGGGAATAGAGGTACTTAGGCTAGGGTAGACGTAAGGTATACAGCCGTAATTTTCTGGCTACAAATAAGAGTAGGATGATTTTACAGGATACTATCAAGTCATCGATACTAAAAATTGTCATTTTGCAAATGTTTCGGTCAAATTTATATCCCTAAAACATCAAAGCCTGCCAGTCCATTAAAACGTTGGAGCTCAATTTGGTGCTATAATGGTCAATAATAATATTTGGGTATCATCATTATACAGAGGCCATGTCGAAGATATCTATGATGCTTGCTGGTCTGCCAGTTCCAGCTACCTAGTGACAGGATCAGTTGACAACACTGCCATCATATGGGACATCAGCAAAGGTATACTATATGCCATAGACATTCCACTGCTATTTAGATCCCCTATATTGACAGAGGTTCTCCGAACTGATTATGTGAATCTGTCTATTTCATTGTGCGTTGCTCTGAGCTCATAATGATGTAATGTATAGTTCCCGGGAAGTGTAATAGGCCTCAACAAACAGTCTTTATTAGGCCTCTGTGGGTAGATCACGAAACAGTTACACATAAGGTCAGTAGTATTACGTATCGCCAACGCCAGAGTAATGAGTACTATAGTACAGCAATAAACTATTACAGATGAATACCTAGCTCTATTATGTAACAGAGTTCAATACGTGATTTAAGGGAACAAGGGGCGTGGTCAAGAGACTCATACGGCCTGAGGCATTGTTAAAGATTCTCTACCGTGCACTTTCACCTTGTTCGTCTAGACTACAAATTAATTGTTGTTATTATCACCGGTGCCAGCTAGCCGCACCCGACAACAATGCACAATGATTGTTCTCTTACAGGACAGTCTCTCTGTACACTGGCCGACAGCAAGCAGTACGTCCAGGGAGTGGCCTGGGATCCGATTGGTCAGTACCTAGCAACCCTTAGCAACGACAGGTATGTTTAAATTTCTCGTTTTTGTGTTGTGAGTGCTTAGCAACGGCGGGTATTATGGGATTGGAATTTGTTGCTGGCAAGACATCGGCCAAAGTCAGTCTGCCAATGTTCATCAGAGAGTCGGCAAAACTACAAAGTTTTTTGCAAGAGCTTGTCTCAATAGTATCCTGCACTTGCCATTATTTCAGATACCTGAGAGTGTATGCAGTCGAGCAGAAGTTCAAATGTGTCCATTCAGTCAGCAAGATGACTGTTCCAGAGAATCAGGTACTGAGTTGTCTGGGTGATCATGTGACTGTCACATGACTCCCATGTGACAGGAAAAGGGGGGCGGGGCCGGGAGACAGTTCAGGATGTGGATTGACGAATCTCTCTCATTCTTCTTCCGTCGCTTGACCTTCTCCCCCGACGGAAATCTTCTTGTTGTTCCAGGTCCGTTTGTTGTTGTTGTTGTTGTTTACTAATGCATGTATTGGATTCAAAAATTAGACCTCAGTGGATCAAACCTTGTGTTTATGCTGATATTTTATGCAGTAGTGTTTGTGTGTCTTGTTGTCTAGCTGGGAGATACGAGAACGGCGAAAAGACGACAAATATGACCTACATTTTCACCAAATCCAACCTTGCCAAGTGAGTAAATCAGGACACCTCAGATCAGGACGACATTCGCCGTGTCCTAATCTCTACTCCAGGCCAGCGGTGTGTCTACCTTGTCCTGAAAAGGCGACGGTTGTCGTAAAATTCTGTCCTAAACTGTTCAAACTGCGAGGAGACGCATCAGGTCAGACCACAGATCCTCAAATAACTGTGTTGAAAATAAAAAATTTTTTATTTCTTCTTCCAGAACATCACAAGAGCCTGTTCAGGTATGTGTGTGGATAGTGTTTCATTAAAATAAGCCCACCCAGCCGTCCGAATTGCGCAATTTTTTGTACGACAACACTATGCCACACTTCTCGACGATGCACATGCACACACATCGCTTTGAGCAGTTCAAAAAGTGTAAATATTCACTAGCCGAAAAATAGTTGCATTTTCGTTCTAAATTTTCCACAGCTCTATGAATTCACTCCCCGAAAAATGTGTTGAACTAGCATTCCAACTTTTCTCCACCTCATAACCTCGTGTTTTAATTTTCATTTCGCACTCCATTTTTTCGTGTTTTCATGTTTCTCTCTCAGTCTCCCATACCGGATGGTGTATGCAGTGGCCAGTCTCGATGCGGTACTCCTGTACGACACCCAGCAGACCACGCCCTTTGCTTACCTCTCTAACATACACTACAGTGGAATAACAGACCTGGCATGGTACGAAGAAACCCACATGTCATGTAGTACATCCCCACCGTTCTACTACGCATGTGACTATCGTGTATCCAATTTGTAGTCGTTTGTAGAAATAGCGTAGCATTGACGTATTAGCGTTGTTATAAGGTGTTGTGCAAGTGTGATTGATAGTACGTAGTGTGTAGGACATGTAGTTAGTTTGCAAATGTTGTTGGAATGTGTAGAGTACATCCATGTATGTATATACTACTAGTAGTCGTGTGCCAAACCATTAACAAACGCAGGTAGGGGTGTATTAACTTTACCCAAAGCAAAAGCACGTTTTTCTCGGAAGTGACTTCGATCTCCCCCTTTCCTAACTCCTCCTCCAACTGTATAGATCATGAAATAATAATAACTAGTAGTGTGTGCAAACATAACAAACGCAGGTAGGGGTATTAATTTCCCAAAGCAAAAGCACGTTTTTCTCGGAAGTGACTTCGATCTCCCCCTTTCCTAACTCCTCCTCCAACTGTAGTCGTTTGTAGAAATAGCGTAGCATTGACGTATTAGCGTTGTTGAAGCGTGTTGTGCAAGTGTGATTGGTAGTAGTGTGTAGGACATGTAGTTAGTTTGCAAATGTTGTTGGAATGTGTAGAGTATATAGATCCATGTATATATATATAATTATACTAGTAGTCGTGTGCCAAACCATTAACAAACGCAGGTAGAGGTGTATTAACTTTGCCCAAAGCAAAAACACGTTTTTCTCGGAAGTGACATGACTTATCCCCCCCTTTCCTCACTCCTCTTCCAACTGTGCCTGCAGGTCAGAAGATGGTCTCGTTCTCGTCATCACTTCCTCTGACGCCTATTGCTCCATCGTGACCTTTGAACCAACGGAGCTGGGTGTTGTCATGGCAACAGAAGACCTCCCCCAGTCGATGAAGAAAAGCAACGCCGTCTCGGAGACCAAAAAGAACGGAATTACACTTTTGAAAAGTCCCGTTGAAAGCGGCACGAAATCGGCCGGTAATGGCGACGCCATTGAAGAGGGAAAGGTGAACGAAACAGAAGCTTCGACAGAACCTGGCCGAGCTACAGAGAATCTAGAGATGTCAAGGCTTATGGGGGTAACCGTGAGGGAGGGAGGAGGGAGGTGAAAGGCAAGAGAAAGATCACAACCACACTAATAGAGGCCTTTTCCTCTCCCGCCTCAACCTCGTCCGACGAGAAGCCCCTGACACAATCAACCGATAGCACCTCCATCGCGACCGAAAAGACCCGACCACAGCCCGACAGTCGCTCGTCCTCGACATCACCAGGGCAACCGGCCACGGTAGAAACAAGATTGACAGGTCAAACCAGTTTTACCACAGCACGCCAGGCCGGTGGCGAAAAGGAAACCAGCAAGTCGCCAGAAAAGAAGCCCCGCAGAGTTCAGTTCCAGACTCTATCCCAAAATTCGAATTTGAGTTCTGAAAATGAATCTCAAACAGAGACACCTCCACTTTTTATACAGGAAGGGTCAAGTGACTTGAGACCAAAGTCATGTGACCCAGGCTCTGCCCACTCGAGTGCTAGTAGCAACGAAACTGAACTTATGGACGTCCAAACTGTTGAATGAACTGATGTTTTTAATATTAATGATTACAAGATTTCAAAATGATACGATAATGAACCACCATAGCGAGGAATGTGAAACGGTAAAATTATCATTGAACCACATAAATAATTGATTTTTATATGCCAATTGGTCCAAATTTATTGCCAAAAGGGTATTTTTGTCCCTTACTCGTTGCCAGGGGTAACAAAGTTCAAGCGGAGGTCGTGCTGTTGATCCAGACCGAGATAGCAGTCACTGATGAGGTAGAGGGTATAAATCTTCCGGCTCGGCTCCTCTGGTGCCGGGAAGGCGAGGGTTGTGACCGTCTTGGCGCGAATGTAGCCTAGCCTCTTCAGAGCCAGCAGTTCTCCACTGTCGACTTCTCCAATTAGTACCCACCATCCCTCGTCCTTCGACTTCGGGTACTTTGGGGCATACGCTCTCGTGTCATGACTCTGCATAGCAACATGTTAACAAATTACAGTGGAACCTTGTAATTCAGACACCAACGGGACTAAAGAAAGTGTCTGAATTGCTCAGGTGACCAAAGTAAATGTCCTTTCAGATATTAGTAGTAAGGTGTCTTTAGAGAGGGGTTCCTTGGTATGGGAGTTTACTCATTGACTATATCGTCATCGTACCTTCCTGTGGGAGTTTCTTGTTATCTGCACGACGACCACACAATCTTTTGCCATGCCCACATCAACCCACCTTTGACCTCTAACCATGCCCCCTTCACCTGCCCTTCCCACTCCCTGTATGGCGCCCGACGAGTCTCGTCCACTGCTATCATCAGGAGACCTTAGCTTCCACGTGACACTCAAGGCAGGCAGCTTCGAGATTACTTCTGTCAACTAATGTATATACAATATGGCAGCATCATCAGTCACACCAGTTCAACTTCCAGCTTCATACCGTACAGCAGGATAATTTCATAAAATTTCTGAACTTCAGACCACCCCTATCACATTTGCGCTGCACTCTCAGGATATCGTAGAAGTATAAAGGATGCCTATCCCCTCCCTCACTTGCTCACTAAAGTACCGTAAACTTAGGCCATCCCTAGTTTGTGCAGTCACATTCGCACACACAGTGATTGCAATACACCTAAGTTCTAAGCCAGTGTTGAGAGAGAGAGAGAGAGAGTAAGTCAATTCTACCTTTCTGAGGTCCTGTCGAGGTAAACTTCGACCGAGCGCCTTTGTCACAAATCCCTCATCAACCTCGGCCGCCAACTGAAGTTCTGCCAGCGTCAGTATCTCCTTTAACCCTTTCCCCACTAGAACCCTCGACTGCGACAACGCCTCGTTCAGTTGATCCACGTGGCGTTCCTCGACGTGAGGCAAGGTCAGGAGGGAGCTGTCCGACGACCATCTTCCCTGAATACACATCTGAACTAGGGTCATGATTCGTGAGGGTGGCTGCCAGCCATCCCTCGCTTGCTGCTACGTCTATCATTGCCTGGGATGAGTTGGAGAAAGAAGTGAAGGAGAGAGACATTCCAGAATTTAGTATACACAATACTTAGAGCAACTTTGTTCATGCAGTGAAGTAGCTGGCATCTTCAAAAGTCCACACAAGAAATACAGGTACATATAGTATACACTCATACATATATACATTGAGGTCTGTTACACTTGAGTCTTGAGTTAAAGCAAAAGATGGTTTACCCGTCTGTACTATAAAAGATGACTAGATCACTTTTCCCTGGAAAAGAACCACTGCCAGCTAACCTGCAGTATCCTGAGCGCCTGGTCGAGAACGGACTTGGTATCAGTGCCGTAGTCAGCGATGGGCAGGGGAGCGCGACTGAAGTGTGCCTGGAGAAGTAGGTGTGTCTTGGTGTGAGGGCTGTCCATTGCGTCGGGGGAGACAGGGATCGGGAGTTTGGGGGCGAGGCTGGCGTTCATGACGTCCTCGTTGTGGCGAACTGGTAGCTCTGCGTACTCTGAACAGTCCTACATTAGTGACAATTAAAGGCAATTTGTGAGGGGGGGGTAGAATGCAGCATGTAAATATGTACAGCTACGTTGACTTAAGTTTACTATTCCAAACTCCAGCTTTAATGAAACTATTATGGATAGTTGGTTTGCCTTTTCTTCCACCCACGTTCTTTTAACAAATGCAAAACTGTTAAGACCCTTAATTAGGGGTGGAAGGGGGCGTGGTTCAGAATGTAAATGCTAACTCAAAGTGAATGTTACTATTCCATACTCCAGCTATAGTCAAACAAATATGGATTGTTGGTTTTGTCTTTTTTCCACTCACGTTCTTTAAAGAAATGCAAATCGTGAAAACTCTTTTTTTAAGGGGGTAGGTAATACACTTGTATAACATGCACCAACATGTATATATATACACTCACTGAAAGAAGTATCAACAGCTCCTCATAAGAACTGGTAGCGTGTAGCCTCTCTCCAAACAGTCTAACAGTGGGGTGATGGAGGTAGTAGTAAGACGCTATACATCCGAGTGTCAGCGGCTGCAGAGTTCTATCATCTTCCTCGACCGCGATGCAGTGGGACGACTGAAGCACGGAGAGAGAGGTGGAGACTATGTTAGTGAGAAAGGAGTTAACGGATGACGTGTCCGTCTCTTGCAGCTGGTAGTAGCTGGAGAAAGAGAGATAAGAAAAGTAGAAAACATACACATCAGTATTCAATGAAGGGGAGACATAGCAATAAAAAAATCTCCTATTATGTACTGTCATGCATAAAAATTTCGAGGGAGAGAATTTTTGCAGTATAATTACACCGTCTGCAAACGTTTTCTCCGCAAAATTTTGTGGGCGAGAATATTTGTATTGCAGGACAGGCAATCTGAAAACAGTTTTCTCTGCAAAAAATTTTTTTGCTATCAAGTCACGCAGGTTCAAACGTTCCCTTGTATATGGTACACTTGCGTATGTAGTGTACTGTACCTGGGGTTCATGAGGAGTCGTCTAAAGAAGTAGGTCCAAGTGAGGTAGTCCAGCGCGTCCTGTTTGGTGGTGACTGTTCCTGAGACTATCTCCGCGTTCAGGTGGTCTGCCAGTACCTGCAGGAGACTGGGGTGAGAAGAGAGACAGATGGGGGAATAAAGAAGGGGGTCATTGTCACATTTTCTGCCTCCCTGTTTCTTCTTTCTCCCCCTCACTTTGACTCCACGGGGAAGGGCTCGTAGAGAAACTTCTTGTAGAAGTGTTTCTTGATGTCGTGAACAAGAATCACAGCTACACCTCTGTCGTCGTACTGCGGCCGCCCGGCCCGCCCCATCATCTGGAGGACGTCCGTGATTGGGTAGTCGACGTAGCGCTGCGTCTTCCCGTCGAAATACTCGGTTCCCTTGACGACCACCAGGTGGGCGGGGAAGTTGACTCCCCAGGCCAGCGTACTCGTGGCAATTAGGACCTGTTGGTGGAGGAGACAGGACATGGTGATGATGATTTGGATGCTTTATTGATCAGGACACCTCGCTGATCAGGACACCATAATGTTTAGGTCACCTCGCTGATCAGGACACCATAATGTTTAGGTCACCTCGCTGATCAGGACACCTTAATGTTTAGGTCACTTCACTGATCAGGACACCTTAATGTTTAGGTATCCTTGTTTAATAGGACACCTTTCATATCACTGATCAGGACTGCTGATTAGGACACCTGAAACTGAAATCTACCTACTATGCCTTTCAGAGGAGGCCTGGGACGATGGTTTGGTACAGTACCTGTATCTTTTGGTTGACAAACAGTTTCTCTACGGTTTTCCTGTCCCTCTCCAGCAGCCCGGCGTGGTGCAGACCCACGCCAAACGCCAGTGTGAACCTCAGGTTCTGGTCCTGGACCGACTGCAGCAGCGTCTCCAACTGGAGCGGAACACAGACACACACACACAGACCACAGTTACTGTATATACATTAGTAGTCTTCGGATACTTGTACGTATGTATTATTGCTGTTATAGAGTGTATTCTGCAAAACTGGAAATTTGGTGGTTGCAGAAGTCACCAAATAATCAACAATTTATTGAGCTTATTCGCAGAAAAACGTGCCTGAAGTGTGAACAATTGACATTATGTGACCAACACGTACTTAGAGTGAGCTTGTAGGTTCGAATTGACCAATCAGATTGCAAAGCCGAGGTTTACTAAATCCCATAGTAAACCTCACGTACAGAGTACATACATACACAATTATGTGTTACTTATGAAGCATACATATACATGTATTAATGTATGTACCTCATTCTCAGGCATATGAAGCCATTGTTTAGAATCGTCCTCCCTGGCTACGTACGCCACCAGATCGAAAGCCGTCAGACGGGTCTGACGACGCGAGGACACGAACACCAGAACCGGTTTTACGGGCGAGTACGTTCGAATGGCGGTGTAGGTTGGCTTGTTCATGGTGGCCATTCTGGGACAGTAGTGTTTCCCGGGAAACCCGTCGATGTGGACCTCCAGTTGGACCGGCCGCACAGCCGGGTGGAAATTGAATAGTCCGTCCTGTGATTAGGAGGAAAAGAAAGGGGTGGGGGGGCGGGATAAATGAGAGAGAGAGTGGAAAAAATAAATAAAAGGTGCCAGTGGAAGTTACTCAACTGGTGCATTTTACAGCACATGCAATAGTGCTATATATACAACACGAAACATACATACTTTAGGAAAAGGATGATGTCATACACATGCTGGCAATTTTACAGCATGTCCTAATGTCATCAGATCCTGTGGAGTATATACTGTATATAAACCAGCAGGAGAACTACACCAGCACCCTTCGAGAAATTTGCACCTCAAAACCTTGCATGTCTACCTGTCAAAAATTAACATCTTTGCATCTGTTTGCTTCCTCACTACCCCTCTCCTCTCTCTCTCTCTTCTCTCACATATACCTGTTTTATCTCCAGCCAGTCAGCAAGGTCTTTGGCATTGGCAAGAGCGGTCGACAGTCCGACAACCCTTACTTTGTGCTCAGTGTGGGACGCAATAAAGTTTGTTCGAGAAACGATGACTTCTAGCACCGGCCCCCTCTCGTCTCCTAGGAGATGGATCTCGTCTATTACCAACAGTCGAACCGCCTGGACATAGGCTCTGTAGTGGGGGTAGTATACTTAGGGTATGCAAGGATATCCAAAGAAAATGCGGGGTTAATTTCCTCTAGATATAGGTTGTATACAGTAAGATTAAATTTGCTTAGTATCCTGAACAATATCCTAAAGTATACAAGATAGTATACTATGTAGTTTACAACAATGTCTCTGAAGATTACTGACCTGTTCTGCCAGCTGCGACTGATGCCGTCCCACTTCTCCGGCGTCGTGACGATGACGTCGGCTCTCTCGATGGCCCGTATGTCGGGGGAGCTGTCCCCAGTCAGTTCCACCACCCTCTTCCCCAGTCTCCGTTCCATACGCTCGTTCCAGTCGTCGACTCTCTCCCTCACAAGTGCCTTCAGTGGAGCAATATACACAGCCTTGCCTCCCGGATAGCAGTTGAACACTCTGCAATAAATTGTTGAAGAGGGAGAAAAAATAAAACTGATAGAGAAAAAATTTAGAAGTGATATTAGAAGACAAATTGAGAAGAAAAAACCGTTTTTGAATGAAGAAAACAAATGGCAGTATTTACATAGAATTGCTTTTTGAGATTTCTGAGGGTGAGATGCTCTAATTAATGCCCACCTGAAAATGGCCAATTCAGCTGCAATCGTCTTCCCGCTGCCAGTGGGCGCCCCTAGCAACACGCTACTGTCGGAGTGATAGAGGGTGTGAAAGACCTGTGTCTGAATGGGGTTAAAATAGGAAAACGAGTAGAGTGACTCGTAGCTGGTGTTCTTCAGAGCGGTGACTGGGAGGGGGTGAAGATCGAGGAGTTTGGTGTGAGGAGGATGAATTTCGGGGAGGATGAGGTGTTTGAATGATACGGCAACGGTTGCCTCGGCGCCCAGCCAGCGGTCAGAGGTGACCTTGACAATGTATTGCGGGCAGAGGGGTTCGGTTATGGGGACGGCAAATACTAGTTCTTGAGCTTCTCCTAGAATGACCTAGGAAGATGGAAGAGAGGGAGGAGGATAGGAAGAGGGAGAGGGAACGATATGGAAGCACGGGAGATAGGAGGAAAGATAGCCGTTGCAGCTCGTTGGTGCCGCTAGGCCAGCCGCCGCCCTTGAGTTCGTTCTGTTCCAGCCTTTTGTCATACAGCAAACTTTCTTTTTAAAAACACCGCTCTGAAAAAGGATCTTTGTCCCACCCACAGTATCTAAAGTGAACACCTCTGAGTAAAGCACGTCCAATTCCC